TTGTTGACGGTAACTGGAATCAGTTGATTTGCACTAAAACTGGCGGCGCTCCTTTTAAGGATCTCTGAAGCCGTTGATTTACGATCGCTTTGTTTCGCNTTTGCCAGACGAAGGTTGGTTATGCGCGTGGCTTCTTCCACCCACTGGAGTAAACGTCGTTGTTTTTGTACCTGCCAACCCGCTTGAGCCTTACGTTTACAGATTTTTGGCATTTATAAACAAAGAACTAACTTTACACGACGCGTTGGAACTAGACGTAACCTAAATTTCGTAAACTAAGAAAGACTCGAAACGCGGAACACGATTAATGAAAAATTTACGCGAAACCCCCGACGTTACCTGAACATAAAGATCTTAATTACGCGAGGAGGAATGCAGAGTACTGAATACGCGTTAGCGCCTTCGAGTCTCTGCGGCAAGGAAGGTTTGGAGGGTGTTGACGAAGTACGCGTTAGCGCCTTCCGTCGAGAGGAGTTGAGAAATACGCTTTCAGGCGCCTTTCTCAAGGGGAAAATACGCGGTAGCGTCTTTTCCCAAGGTAGGTTAAACACGGCTGACTTAATCAAACTAAACTGAATTTAAATCACTAGTAAAATGAAAAGAATCAGTAATATCTGAATTAACCTTATTTAATTATTCACAAAAACAAAATACAATACTATCACCACGCAAAAAAGTAAACAAAATCATTAAGTCTAAATTAACACTGAAAATAATTCACTAAATCGACTAAATAAACTAAACAAGGATTAATATCTTTAAGCTACTTGATTTAACAACGCAAAACTGCTAAAGACGCTTGTGAGACACTCGTTGAACTATGCTTACGTTTACAAAAGATTGTTGAAGACTATGTGGACGATGAGCAAGCCCGGACTCAACGTTTAAACACTTGACTTTATTGAGAGACTGTTAATCGATTGACTTGCGGATACAGACTGACAAGCAAGACGCTCAGTTTGCTTGTACAGTCTTGAAACACTGTTACTTCTTCGGATCTCGGATATGGACTGACTGCTCGCTGCTCTAAGACTAAAACGCTGCTCCGTACGCTTGGAGTAGGGATGGTAAGGACGGGACCTGAAGGAACGACCAACCAGGTTGCGGACACGGCGGGAAAGACCGGGGAAGTACCTAAGAAATTACTACGGTGGGAGACGGAGCGTTCTCACGGTTAAGGCAAGCTCACGCCTCAGGAATGTCGCACTACGATAAGATAAGCTTACTTTTTCTCGCCTCGGCGGGACTTATATTTTGTCTTCCAAACTATGATGACGGCTGGCGACACTGCGGTGCCTCGCTTCGGCTTAATTCTAAGGGCGCGATAACTTCGGAATTCTCGCCTCGGCAGAACACAAAGAATTCGGCTTTTCCTTTGTTGGAACAAAGCGGCGCACGGCTTGGCCTTGAAAAGCGCTGGTATGTCGTGAGAATTATCACGAGTGCGTATGCACTTTACAACGACTTTTGCTGGTTATAGTTAGGTTTACGCTACAATTAACAACGCTTCTGGAACGCACACGGAAGACTTACTGACTATACGCGCAACTTACTATACTAAACGCATATATATAGATATACACTTGTATGAAAAAAACGCAAAGGGTTCCCCCTTGGGACATACTCCAGTATATATAGATATACTTTCCCTGGTTAAACGTGGAACTGGGAAGTAGCCGAAAAACTTAGTTTCCGTAAAGACTAAAAGTCACACACACAGACATAGTACGTACGTTAACATTCTACGACTTATGAGATATAGCGGTTTTTAACAATTGTGGATATTTCGAGAACCAGAAGAGATATTCGGAAACGGACCACGTAGGTACTTTGGGTTCGAGAATTTTACGCGACATAGTGAAAGTAAACAATTTGATTATCTCAGAAACGGTGATAGTTAGAGAAAAATGGTTTTCAGATTCTTGTTTCTACTACTTAGTTGCAAAATACCACGTTTTTAAAAGTTAATAATTTTAATTATTTAAACAACCGATTGTTAATAACAAATTTTGGGGACCTGAAACCACACTGGTATTTTGCAGTTTTTCACGCTGATTCCTACGAAAAAAACCGTTTATTCCTATCTCTTGTGGTTTTTGTTGTATTAATTTTGCAACTTACGTAATATCATGTGGTTCGGACTTAAGCTAAGTGAAGCATGGCTAACGGTAATAGAAACACAACGGTAACTTGTGCGGGTCGATAACTTGCTCGGAAGCATGACTTTTAGCAACTGTTTACTTACCGACCGTGGTAAATGTTTAAGTATGGTAAAATGGTGGTACTGGTAACAGTACCGACTTTGGTACTTGAGAAAAACGGTAACTACTAGTACAACCGGTTACCGGCATGAGTTACCTCTTAACCTTGTGTCCTACGGCTTACTTCACTGTACGCACACCTACCTTACACTTCTAGTCTATGGTCAGCACTTAAGGTAGTGTTTCAAAGAAACTTTGTCTTGA